AGAGATTTCAAGGAATTGGCTCACATGATTGTCAGGGCTGGCAAGTCCAAAGTCTGTGGAGCAGGGCAGCAGGCTGGAAACTCTCACGTAGAAGTTGTGGCTGTAGTGTAGGGGCAGAATTTCTTCTTCCTCAGGGAAACTTCAGTTTTGCTTTTAAGGTCTCCCAACTGACTAGATAAGGCCCACCCATATTATCAATAATAATCTCCTTTACTTAAAGTCAACTGATTGTAGATGTTAACCACATCTACAAACTACCATCACCTAGACTAGTACTGGATTGAATAACTGGGTACTATAGAGTAGCCACGTTGACCCATAAAATTGTTACAACTAGTTTCTTATGTACTGTAGCCATTTTTATCTCCTCTGAGAATTGTGTGTTGATACACTTTTGCCATTTTTCTGTTAAGGGACTTAATTGTTTTTCTTATTGATTTGTGTGAGATCTGTATACTAAGAATATCATATTTTTCATATTTGTGATAGTTTTCCCATTTAGAAAATTTCATTTTAATTTTCTAATATTCAAACATTTACGTTTTTATAGAGTCAGTTCTATCAGACCTTTAATTTTCGTCTTTTGTATTTGTAAAGTTATTTTTAATTTAAATATTTCATGAATATTTCTTTACTAATATTAGATAAACTTTATTTATAAATTATTTTATTTTATATGTTTTGTGTGTTGGTTTTAATAAAGAGAAGTTTATTTCCTCATAGTCAAAGTAAGTTAAAAGTCCAAATTCAGGGTGTCAGCTCCAGGGGAAGGCTTTTTTTCCATCGGCCTTCTTTTCTTCGGTGTTCTCCCGGACTAGGAGCTTCTCTGCGCAGGGACCCCGGTCCGAAGATGCGCTTTGCTCCCGGCACTGCTTTCTTGATGGTATAAGGTCCCCCTATATGTTTGATTTTTTCGGCAATATTTTTATAATGACATTTCAGACATGTAAAAAAGCATATGGAATGATATAGCTACATATAGCTACAACCCAGCTTAAGAAATAAAATATTACCAACATAATTGAAGCTCCAAAGTATCTCTATGAAATCACATTCCCCTCCCTTCTCTCTGGAAGTTATTACAATTCTGAATTTTGTTTTATCACTTCTAGACATATTTTATCATATATGTTGTTAAATACTTTGCATTTATGTAATCTTTGCATATATATATATATATATATATATATATAGCATTAGCTGTGTATATCTTTTTTCATGAGTTTTTAAATAAATACTACCCTACTTATGAATATTCTGAATGCTGTCACTCTCATTTAAAAATGTTTTGAGACTTATCTATGTTGATGCAAAAAAAAGGTAATGCATTTTCTATTAAATTATTCAATTTAAAAATTAAGTGATGATAATAAATGCTGGTGGTTTAGTTTGAATTCTCCCAGAAGCAGACCCAGAGATGAGGCTTCAAGTGTAAGCAGCTTATTTGTCAGGTGCAGGGAACCCAGAGAGAGGAGTGAGGAAGTGAGACAGAGAAGGAAAAATAGTTAATCAAGGGTATGTTACGGGCCTGTCCCCGCGGGCCTGTCATAGTGTCCCATGTCAGAGCAAACTGTAGCCCCGAACCATTGCCTGGCCTCCTTGCCCATAGGCTGCAGGCACTGAAGTGGGTTGCACAGTGGGGAAAATAAAAGGGAGTGTGTGTTATGAAACCAGCTCCCTCAGCGGGCAACTGGAGAACGGTGTAAAATACATGGTGCAAAGGGTATTTATTCACCAACTCCTGTCAACCGTTGTTTGAAGGCTGCTCCTGGGATGTGTTAATCACCTAGCATTGCTGGCCTGCAGCACACACTTAGATAGAGATGCCTCCTGCATTACAGGCAAAGCTCAAGCACAGAGATATAAATGCAAGTCATCTGAGCATGCTGAACTTGTGCAGTCCAAGAAATATCACAGGACAATGACAGCACCTACTACAGCCAGTGAGGGTGTGGTGAAACTTTTACCTACATACATTGTTAGCAACATTGTAAATTGTCACTATTATTTTGGAAAGATATTTGATACTATATATCAACAGCCTTAGAAATGTTCATACTAAGAGAAACTTCATTAAAATAATTATATATGTATTCATCACAGTGTCATGTACAATGTTCAAAATAAAAAATATCCAAATGCTCAACAAGATAAGAATGGTTAGGAAAGTTATGTTTGCTGGACAATATTTTACCACTAAAGTTGAGAATTATGAAGATTATGTAGCCATATGTGAAAATGTTTGTGAGGAAGAGAGGAAGGAAAGATGGAGGGAGGGAAGGGGAGAAAAGGAGGAAAGGAGGAAGGAAAGAAGGAAAAGAGAAGGAAGGAAGGAAATATTTAAAAATGGTGACAACATGGTTGTTCTGGGGATGGACTCATGAAGTAATATTTTTATACTGAAAATAACCTTTTTTAAAAGCAACATAAGTATTACTGTAAAGATCATCCAAAAATACTTTAATAATGCCTGTTTTCTGTGTATTACTTTTGAGGTTACATATTAAGCATCCCCTCGTCATTACAAAAATCTTGTGAAAAAATTGTGTTTAGTATTAATGCTCCATTTTATAACCTAGGAAACTAAAGCTCAGAGAGAGCTAAATGTCTAGAAAGTGATAGAACTGTGATTAGACTACACTTCTTCTGACTCCTGGCCCAGTGCTCTTTATAAAACATCTGTTGTGTTTGCTTGCTCAGTACCTCTTTTGCAATTACTGAATTTCTTCTTTTCCTTTAAAGAATGTCCTCATCCCCATTCTTCAGGCTTGCTTCAGCCCAAGCCTGGTCAGTTAGAGTCCACAGTGATTGGTTCAGAGCTGGGCATGTTATCAAGTTAGGCCAGTCAAAGTCTGCCCAGGACTTCTGCTAGAACTTTTGGAAAAGAGATGGCTTTTTCCACTGGGAGTATGAAGCTGGAATAAGAAAAGCCTGAAGTTGTCTGTGATCATGTTTGTCAGTTCATAGAAGGGCCTACCTTAAAGTGAAGAAAGACGGAGATAAGCAGAGCTAGAAATATGGAGACAGAGACGCCTGATGATATTGATAACCCTTTCGTGCCCGGCGGTACATATCGGAAACATGAATTTTTCAGCCTCTGGGGTTTGCTGGGAAGCTGCTGTACCACTGACAGTGTGTGCTGCCACAAGTCAGGAGCCTTTATGACTGCTCGTAACTGAAGAAATGGATGTGTGCCACAAATTACTGTTTTTACAGGGTATCAGATTAGGTGTCTGAAATTTTGGTAGGAAACATAGAAAATTTGAAAAAAATTATTTGTTACACGCATGTATCAATAAACCCTGGTGGGGACTTGGGTGTAATTAGTGGTACTTCATATGTACCACTAAACACTGTGGGTACGCTTGTGGGAGAGGGCAACAACAACAAAAAAATCCATACTACCTACCAAAAATCCAGATACACTCAATGATTCAGCATGCTTCCATTAATGAAAACATATGGCATCAACACAAAATTCAAAGCAAAAATAATTGGGTCACCAAAGGGTTAAAGCTCTCAGATCTTCAGATCTGGCCATGCCTCAAGGCGGGGCCTACCCATGGTCTTTTCAGGTCTTTGAGCCAATTTCTATTTCTTTTAGTAAAGATAATTAGATTGGAGTTTCTGTCATTTTCACCTAAAAACATCCTGGCTAATAGGAAAGTCAATTACTGCTACTGACAAATTTTAAAATGTTGAGTCAGCCAAGTTGAAATGAGCTACGTGGCAATGCACATTCCTCTTGCAGTAGATAAAAAATGGTCCATCTGTGTTATGTAGTAGCAAAGTAGATGGTTAAACTGTTAACTGCCATACCTTCAGACTCCAGCTATGCATCTACTGAGTCTAAACTTTAGGGAACTTGGTATGAAAATGTCAGGATGCTGGATTATGTTAGCTAACTCTTGCTAATTCAAGTTCACCTGTTTGAAAGAAGAGAAAGAAGAAAACTCAGCCGTGCTTTACATCTGCATCTAACAGTCCAAGATAGCTGAGATTCAAATAGCCATGAGCTTAGTAAAATTGAAAATGCCAAATTTTCTACTCTAAAAAAGTTACTGCAAGGAAATCCAGGGAGACTGTTCACAGCATTGTAAATAAGAATAGGATCTAGAAGAAGCTGGAATATGATTTTCCAGTCCCTTCCCAAGAATCTAGAGTGCTACTCCTTGCCTTAAGAAGGGTAGTCAGAATGTTTTTAGGTGAAAATGACATAAATACCAGTCTAATTATCTTAATTAAATGACAACTGAAAGTACTTTCCACTGTCATGCCAACTAGAGATACAAGGAAAATAAATTTTGACTCCTAATCCCAACCAATTATTCTGCACCATCACAAAATTTTAAGCCTTTAAGCCAAGAGATGAAGGATGGATAGATCATTGAGGCTTGATGCTAAGAGACAGGAATCACAGACTTGGATTTATATTAAGACCATGATTCAACAAGATCTCAGGTTCCAGTTACTAACTGATAACATTACCCAAATGCAAATTAACTGGATGTCTACCAAGGTTTTAAGAAGTCATCCTTCCAGAGAAATTCCAAACTTGACAGGCAAATGCTTCAAAGTACTCAATCTCTAAGCATCCCCCACACCACCAAAACTACACCAATAGAAGTGGGTTGCTAAGATATGACAGCCACCAAAAGAAGTGTCTTCTTCCCAATGTCAATATCAAATGTGGCCACAAAAAGACAATTGTCAAGTAAAATCTTCCATGATGCTGATTAGCTAACTGAGGCACTCACTCTCCTTCCAGGGCAGGGAGAACTTACCATCTCTAATGAGTAAAACCACTGCTTATTAATTTTCCCATTCCTCTCATTTCCAAATGAAAGTTTTACTTAATTTATCCTTTATTCACTCCACCATTGTCCATTATGCTTGTTATAGGTGGTTAAAAATACCATTTAGTCATAGACAGCTGGACCATGAGAAACTACATCTGAGAATGACAGAAAGGCAGGAACATCTCTCAAAGATCCTGATCTAGATGTGCATAGAATAACTGTACGATACATGTTGTTGTTAGGTACTGTCAAGTCAGCTCCAACTCACAGCAACCTTGTATATAACAGAATGAAACATTGCCTGGTCCTGAACCATCCTCACAGTCTATGTTTGAGCCCATTGTTGCAGCCACTGTGTCATTCCATCTCACTGGAGAGTTTCCTCTTTTTTGCTGATCTTCTACTTTACCAAGCATGATGTTTCTCTCCAGCAATTGGTCGCTATTGATGACATGTCCAAAGTAACTGAGACAGTCTCACCATCCTTACTTCTAAGGAGTATGCTGGCTGTACTTCCTCCAAAACCGATTTATTTGTTCTTCTTTGCCAACACCACTATTTGAATGCATCAATTCTTCTTTAGTCTTCCTTTTTCATTGCCCAGCTTTAGCCTACACATGAGGGGACTGAAAATACCATCGCTTGGGTCAGGTGCATCTTAGTCATCAAAGTAACATCTTTGCTTTTTAACACTTTAATTAGGTTTTTTGCAGTAGACTTTCCAAATGCAATACTTCATTTGATTTATTGACCACTGCTTCCATGGGCATTGATTTTGATCCAAGAAGAATGAAATCCCTGACAACTTCAATTTCTTCGCCATTTATCATGATGTTGTTTATCGGTCCAGTGGTAAGGATTTTCATTTTCTTTATGTTCAGGTGTAATCCATCCTGAAGGCTGAAGTCTTTTACTTTCATCAGTGTCTTAGTTATCTAGTGCTGCTATAACAAAAATACCACAAATGTTTGGCTTTGACAAAGAGAAATTTATTCTCTCAGAATCTAGGAGGCTAGAAGTCCAAATTCAGGGCACCAGCTCCAGGAGAAGGCTTTCTCTCTCTGTTGGCTCTAAGGGAAGGTCCTTGTCATTAATTTTCACCTTGTCTAGGAGCATCTCAGGCACAGGGACCCCTGGTCCAAAGGACACACTCTGCTCCTGGTGCTGCTTTATTGGTGGTATGAGGTCCCTCTGTCTCTCTGCTCACCTCTCTTTTATATCTCAAAAGAGATTGATTTAAGGCACAACCTAATCTTGTAGATTGAGTCCTGCCTCATTAACATAACTGCTCTAATCCTGTCTCATTTACATCATAGAGGCAGGCTTTACAACACATAGGAAAATCACATTAGATGACAAAATGGTGGATAGTCACATGATACTGGGAAACATGGCCTAGCCAAGTTAACACATATTTTTGAGGGACACAGTTCAATCCATGATAATCAGTAAATACTTCAAGTCATCTTCACTTTTGGCAAGCAAAGGTTGTGTCACTTGCTTATCTTAGGTTGTTAATGAGACTTCCTCCGATCCTGATGCCACGTTCTTCTTCAGATAGCCCAGCTTCTCCAGTTATCTGTTCAGCATATAGATGGACTAAGTAAGGTAAAAGAATAAAACCCTAATGCCCACCTTTTCTAATTTTAAACCATCGACACATAGTTTTACTATTTAGAGAGGAGGTAAATATGTTTTTTGTTATATATGAAATAGTTGCATTATTTTACATAGGAACTTTTATAGAGATGTATGAATTAAAAGAAAGTGTATAGGGGACTTCCAGTTTCTGGTCCAGCATGTAATGAGCTTGGAAGTCATCATCCCACATCCTCACAAC